ATATATATAATTTTTTTTTTTTTATGATGCATGGATACTTATGAAGTTCTATATATAGTAAGCAAATTTAAAGTGGTGAATTTGAGATTTAGAATCAACTAATTTAGGATGATTGTGATCAATTATATATTTATATTTTTAAATATTTATTACTCCATCTGTTTCAATTAATATGGTAATATTATTTTTTGGGGAGTTAAAAAGATTCTTTTGAGCGCATATTTCTTTAACATTTTCTAGATTTTTTGAATTAATAACATTACTATGATTTATCTAACTTTTATATATGTATTGTCCAATTATGTAAATTTTTTCCGAAAATTTTAAAAATCTATATTCAAGTTGACACTAAGTTAAATATTTTAACCCGCATACTTTGAACTATATCACATAAAATGGAATAAAGGACATATATACTATAAGTGGTGCAAGCTGAAAATAGTAGCTTTTTTGAATTATTAACATATATACTTTGAATTTTGGCTTTCCTTTTTTATAGGATGTTTTGGTTGAAGAGAAAACAAGATTGGGATCAATGCCACCGAGTTGTTACAACAAGTGTAACCAATGCCACCCATGCATGGCAGTTCAGGTTCCAACCCTACCGAGCCACAACCGAGTTGAACCAAGTCGTGGTCATAATCTGGTTCGAACCCAATACTACAATACTGCAGAGTCGTCGCTTTCACCTTCTGGGACCAATAGCAGGTACTCCAATTACAAGCCACTTGGATGGAAATGCAGATGTGCTGGTCAATTCTATAATCCTTAAATTGTATTAAGGGTAGTCCGGTACACAAAATATCCTACATTTACGCAGGTTCTGGGGAAGGGCCGCATCCCAAGGAGTTGTGATATAGGCAACCTACTTTGATGTAAACATGAACAGATTCCGCCGCTTGAAGCCGTGACCTATAAGGTCGCACGGTAACAACTTGACCGTTGCTCCAGAATCCCCTTTATAATCCTTAATTGTCTAATTATTATAATTTTAGGACTAAGAGTTACAATTAACATGTTGAATATGTTAAAAAATCTTGTATTTAGAAGATTAATTTTTCGTTGTTTTACACTTTTACTAATAATATCTACAGTATAATTTGTATTTTTT